CCCCACCTTTAATATATGCAGGGTCGGAAAAAGTGTTTCCGACTTTTGTAACTTGTGATCTGCCTTGGAGGTATGACCCGAGCCAAGCTAGCACTGCTGGTCTAACACCTATTTTCTCGAAGTTCTGGAGTAACTTATTGTGGTCAATTAGGTCGAATGCTTTTCGAAAATCCAGGAAAATTATTCTCACCACATTCCCATGGTTCTCCATAGCCGAATACCAGTTGTGTGCAAGACAGACAAGTGCTAAGACTGCCGAAGAACCTGGCAGTCCTCCAAATTGAGCTTCGCTCACTTTTCCTTTTATATCTTCACGTAACAATGTCTTTCACTCTCAGTTCTGCCGCGACGGCAGCGTCTCTTCTTGGTCTCCACACCGATGCTTCAGGATTCAAGTCACCTTTTCCACGTTCAAGTTCGATAGGTTTGTCACATGACAGTTCTAGTGGATACAATTTTTTGTAATTGAGGTAATTCTTCATAAATCTTAAACTATCATTTTGTTAAAACCTCGTTCACGTAAACGTGCATGCTTACCTCAGGAGAGACTTCTTTGTCTGATGGTTGTTCAATCTAAAATAAACATAACACGATGCACAATAATCGAGAATTTGATTCAAAATGAAACGAGATGCCCTTTAGAACACTTTCAGAACCAGTATGGTTTGATGCTGAATTAATATAAACGAATCTGTTTATATGACATGCCCTTCTTCATAAAAACGTTACGAAATATATATATATATATATATATATATATATATATTGTAATACCTCGGTAATTCAATTTTTTGTAATTGAGGTAATTCTTCATAAATCTTAAACTATCATTTTGTTAAAACCTCGTTCACGTAAACGTGCATGCTTACCTCAGGAGAGACTTCTTTGTCTGATGGTTGTTCAATCTAAAATAAACATAACACGATGCACAATAATCGAGAATTTGATTCAAAATGAAACGAGATGCCCTTTAGAACACTTTCAGAACCAGTATGGTTTGATGCTGAATTAATATAAACGAATCTGTTTATATGACATGCCTTCTTCATAAAAACGTTACGAAATATATATATATATATATATATATATATATTGTAATACCTCAGTAATTCAATTTTTTGTAATTGAGGTAATTCTTCATAAATCTTAAACTATCATTTTGTTAAAACCTCGTTCACATAAACGTGCATGCTTACCTCAGGAGAGACTTCTTTGTCTGATGGTTGTTCAATCTAAAATAAACATAACACGATGCACAATAATCCAGAATTTGATTCAAAATGAAACGAGATGCCCTTTAGAACACTTTCAGAACCAGTATGGTTTGATGCTGAATTAATATAAACGAATCTGTTTATATGACATGCCTTCTTCATAAAAACGTTACGAAATATATATATATATATATATATATATATGTAATACCTCAGTAATTCAATTTTTTGTAATTGAGGTAATTCTTCATAAATCTTAAACTATCATTTTGTTAAAACCTCGTTCACGTAAACGTGCATGCTTACCTCAGGAGAGACTTCTTTGTCTGATGGTTGTTCAATCTAAAATAAACATAACACGATGCACTATAATCCAGAATTTGATTCAAAATGAAAGGAGATGCCCTTTAGAACACTTTCAGAACCAGTATGATTTGATGCTGAATTAACATAAACGAATCTGTTTATATGACATGCCCTTCTTCATAAAAACGTTACAATATATATATATATATATATATATATATATATATATATATATATATTGTAATACCTCAGTAATTCAATTTTTTGTAATTGAGGTAATTCTTCATAAATCTAAAACTATCATTTTGTTAAAACCTCGTTCACGTAAATGTGCATGCTTACCTCAGGAGAGTCTTCTTCGTCTAATGGTTGTTCGATCTAAAATAAACATAACACGATGCACAATAATCCAGAATTTGATTCAAAATGAAACGAGATGCCCTTTAGAACACTTTCAGAACCAGTATGGTTTGATGCTGAATTAATATAAACGAATCTGTTTATATGACATGCCCTTCTTCATAAAAACGTTACGAAATATATATATATATATATATATATATGTAATACCTCAGTAATTCAATTTTTTGTAATTGAGGTAATTCTTCATAAATCTTAAACTATCATTTTGTTAAAACCTCGTTCACGTAAACGTGCATGCTTACCTCAGGAGAGACTTCTTTGTCTGATGGTTGTTCAATCTAAAATAAACATAATACACCATGGGATTCACAACAAGTGAGTCTCACAAAGAGGGACCAAACAAAACCAAATTAAATCGTCCTATCAAGGCCTATGTTACGCGAAACTGGCAGGTAACAAGTCCAAATACCCGGCTTTTTGATAAAAATAACCCAATGTGTGATTTCGCTTATTAGCTAAGACATGTGAGCCAAGAAATGCTCATATCACGATCTTTGAATGATAATTTTTTTTTACTAATTCCTCAAACAACTTCAATTATAGTTTAAAAGCACTAGAACGACTCGCGATTATGATAGAAGATATATTTTACACTCCATGAATGGTGAAAACAAAGTTTTGGCACAAAAACCCCTAAAATATCAATAATTCAATGCCTACTCGAATTTTTCTTTACTCAGCCCAAGTTTTATTAAATTTAGATCAATCAGATAGCTTGTTTTTTGTGTATTTAAGATTGAATTTTTTTAATTAAGGTAACTAAGACACAATAAGCGGAAAATCGAGTGTAGAATTCACACTGTATATAGTATAAAATATCTTTATTTTATCAACACACTTTGTTTACTATCTACAAATATTTTTCGTTCGATCGAGAGACCTAATATGGTTCTAACATGATGTTTATCATAAATTAGTTGTCTGACCAAGCCGCTGACCAGGTTATATTTTTTCCCTTACAAGGCACCCCCCCCCCCCTCCCAGTGCGGTAACGTCTTGGTAAGCGTACCGTACGGCCAGAACGTGTCGTTAAAGATGGTGTTGGCAGTACCGTTGGCAAGAGTGGTTCAATTGCATCGGGAGAAACAGGTGTCATGGGATGTGTGGTTGGCTTGAGCGGTGGGTCGTTCCTTTTCTCAAGGAATGCTGGCTTGAGCCTGTTGATAGAGACTGTATCACGGCACCCATTCGTGTTGAGCGTAAAGAACTTGTCAGTGCGTTGGATGACTAGGAATGGGCCGTCGTAGGGTCGTTGGAACGCACTTTTGACTGCATCGTGCCTAACGTAAACATGTGTAGCTTGTTGTAATGCACGCCGGTATATAAGATGGAGGCAAACCGTAGTTTTGTGGGGGAACAGGACGTTGCTGGTGCATTGTATTCCGAGAAGAGAAATGAGAGATGACCAGAGTTTGGATTCAAATTGCCGGCCACGATCCGACATTATGCTCCTGGGCAGGCCAAACCGTGATTTCCAACCATGTAACAGAGCACGTGCACAGCTTTCCGCTGTCATGTCGACCATCGGAATAGCCTCAATCCACCGAGAGTAGCGATAAATGCATGTGAACAGATAGGTAAACCCTCGAGACAGCGGAAGTGGGCCGACAATGTCAACCTAAATCTCAGCGAAACGATGATCTGGGATATCGAACTTCTGGAGCGGCGCTGTAGTATGACGATGAATTTTAGATTGCTGGCAAGCATTGCAAGTTCGAATCCACCGTCGAACATCACGATTGAGACCGTTCCACACGAACCGAGCGCTGACGAGCTTACAGGTGGATCTAGCGCCTGGATGGAAAAATTATGCATCAGATTCAATATCTCGCGACGAAAAGACTCTAGGACTATTGGTAGAATATTACCCTGAGATGAGTCGCAGAGAAGTGTAAGGTTGTCATCGCCATCAAGGAAAACATCCACTAACTTTAAATTTGTTATGCCAGCTTTCTGGCACTGGGTTTCATGATCATCAGCTTGTGCTTGAGCCATTGCCAGAAAGTCAATTTTGGTATAGGAGGTGGCATTGATTTGGATTCTGGAAGACGCGTCTGCCACTGCGTTATTCTTACCCTTGATGTGTCGCAGGTCGGTGGTAAACTCAGAAATAAAAGCCAACTGCCGGATTTGCCGCAGTGAGCGTTAGGTTGACCCACTTGAGATTGCAAAAGTCAATGGTTTGTGATCAGTGTACACGTGGAACACACGATCTGAGGCATTAGATGTTATACTGGTTGGTGCATTATAATGCGGATGAACCAACAGTGTTGCACTAGCTAGGGCGGATTTACAGTACTGGAATGCCTCCTCGCATTCTGGAGACCAAATAAAATTGGTAGAGGATAATAGTTTGTGCAGAGGATGTAGCCTGTGAAACTTCTTCTTGTCAACAGTTTGAGGAAATTCTGCAACAGCTTGGATGTGGGATGAAAGAGGGGAAATCCCTTGGGCACTGACATGATGACCTAAGAATGATAACTGTGAACGGCCAAGCTCACACTTCTTAGGATTAATGACTAAGCCGTAATGCTCCAGTCGCCGAAAAAGCTGGCGCTAATGGTGGCGATGTTGATCGGGCGTGGTGCTGTAAACCAGGATGTCGTTAATGAATACAAACACAAATTCCAGGTCACGGCAGACTTCATCCATGAATCGTTGGAATGTCTGGGCCGCATTGCGCAGTCCATATGGCATACGTTTGAACTCAAGAAGGCAGAATTGTGTAATGACTGCTGTTTTAGAGACATCCTCAGGAGCAACAGGAAGTTGATGGTATGCACGAACCAGGTCAATCTTGGATAAGATTTTACAACCAGCAAGGCGAGCAGAAAAATCCTGAACGTGAGGCACAGGGTCTGGTTTAGTGGCTGCATTGGGAGCTCGATAGTCACCACAGGGGCGCCAGTCACCGTTCGACTTTGGGACCATATGAAGTGGGGATGCCCAGTTATTTGATGACTTGCACACCGTGTGAGAAGACAGCATCTGGTCAAACTCGGTTTTTGCAGCTGCGGATTTTTCAGGAGAAAGGGGTCCAGCCTTCGCAAAAGTGGGCGGTCCAGCCGCGATAATATGGTGCTGAACATTGTGCTTAACAGCTGGATCGGTGATGCAGAGTTTACAGACTACCGGAAACTCAGCAAAAATGGTATCAAACCCATTGGTGGGTTTAGCTAGCGATATGCGATTGAGAGAACGGAATGGTGAGGTCTGTGCAAGTACAATCATTGATGTTGCTGCTTCTACGGGACAAGAGTTGGCAACATCAACCAATACCCGAATATACCGCAGGAAGCACCTAAAATTGGTTGGTTCACTTCTGCAATGAGAAAAGAACACTTCAGCTGCCCGTGAAAACCAAGGTCCAGGCAAAGTTCACGCTTGCTATAGGTATGAATTGTCGAATTCTTAGCCGCGGTCAGAGAAACCCCCTTTCTGCAATACCGCTTGTCATGTTGCGTAGCTGGGAAAACACTGACCTCGGCACCTGTATCAATTAGAAACCGAGTTTTTGAATGTTTGTCCGTCACATACAACAGGTGGCTTGAGCAAGCCCAAGTCACGTGCGCCTCTACTGGTGATCGGGCTTGTCGTTTCCCGGCGCGGTATAGTACAGGGTTGACGACATTTTGAAGCCTGTGTACCAAATGGGGTGTGATACCAACACAGACCTTCCTTGACCAACTTGGGATCAGCAGCAAGTTTCCGTGCTCCAGTGTCAAGAAGCTTGAGAACTTTATTGAGATCAGATCTGATTGATGAGATTTCTGCTGACTCGGGTGTTTCAATCTGGGCAATGGATGGGCGAGCATCGGTTAGCTCTATCTTTCCATCAGCCATCAATGCTATAAGTCAGCCAACGGTTTGTCTGGATATGATAACAAATCAATCTGGACATTCGAAGGCAGGCGCTGTAGGAAAAGCTCACGAAGAAGCTTTTTGCCGGATGTACCATGTAATTATTGAAAGCGTCGGAGCAGTTGCGATGATTTTGGGTCCCCTAACTCTTCAGCCTGTAAGAGTTGTTGGATCTTTCGACGCTTGGAAAGGGACACTCGCTCGGTGAGTGTAGCTTTAAGTACATCGAACGGATTCGTAGGAGGAGGCGTAAGGATCAGGTCGCGAACCTCAGTGGCAACTTTGGTCAATGAAGCCGCGACGACATGAGCGAATTTGGTACCTTGTGATATCATATTCTTCACCGAAAATTGCGCTTTGACTTGTGCAAACCAGAGCTCTGGGTCGGAAGGCCAAAATGGCGGAATTTTAACTGCCACCGCGTTCGTAGCTACGACGTTCGTAGCGGCCGTAGGTGGCGGAGTTTTGTTCGAGTTGCTTGCTGAAGAAGGAGTCTGTTAGTATTATTGAATATCATTCAGTCGGACCACGGATATTTGAGTTTATGATCTACATTTCGTAACAACAACGTAAACAGTAAAACCACGTGTTAAAAGCAATATATAAAAGATGGCGTGACCTAGATATGACGTCACGTGCAGTTCTAGTTTTTTCGCATACATTAACATAATATTGACAGAGTCGTCATAATGATGAAGTAAATACCAATGTAGAATTCACACCGTATATAGTATAAAATATCTTTATTTTATCAACACACTTTGTTTACTTTTTACTTCTTTGTTACTATTTAAGTTTATAATAAATTAGTTCTGTCTGACCAAGCCGCTGACCAGGTTATTTAGCTATTAAGACCTAGGCTCCCGTGTTTGTAGGAGTATAAAAATAGCCTATAAAAAGACTAGTTTTTGCCATATTTTGTAAAATAGAGTAAAAAAGTAAAAAGCAAATAAGTGTGGTTATATTCAATTCATTTTTAAACATCGTTTTGAACGTTAGTGAAAGCAGACAAGTACTTTACACAATTTTAACAAGGTGAAATCACCCCAAAGACGTTACGGTTAACCATTCGTATTTCGATACATAGTTTCCCGAGAGATATTTTTAAAAGGTTCATGTCAAAGCAATGAGACACGGGCTTGGAAAAATAAAGGATAATAAATATTTAACTAGTTCCGTTTTCAAACCTTATAATGTATTAATCTTGTCACTTAGCAATACATTGCATTTAAAATGTCATGATACGACATGATAGCCGGGTACCCGAACTTGTTACCTGCTTTTTTCGAACTCTCCATACAATAAATGTTATTAAAATTGCAACGATTTTTGGTCCCTTTTTGAGAGACTCAAAACGACTTATTTGTTGCGAATCCCATGGACTAATAGTTGAAATAGGGGAGTACAAATGACTTATACATCATCTGTAGTGTTGCTTGAGGTACGTAAGGCTTCACTTTTCGTAACATAGCTATAGAACAAGAAATCTTTTTAGTTTGTTTTTCAACATGTTTTGTCCATTGTAATTTATCGTCTATTTCTAAGCCTAAGACCTTTTTCTTGTAAACCCGTTTAATTATATGATCTCTAATTTTAATAATAGGGTCATTTCTGATCTGTTTTAAGCGCTTTCCTGAGCCGATTAGCATATACTCGGTTTTTTCTTCATTTAATGTTAATTTGTTTGCATCTAACCAAGTCTTAACGTTTTGGATTTCCCCCCCCAATTTGTATTCAATTTCAAAAGAAGACTCCCCAGTTGCAGTTAAGCTTGTATCATCAGCAAACATGGCGGGTTCAGTTATTTCTAAACTATTTGGCAGATCATTTATATAAATTGTAAACAGAAGTGGCCCAAGGTTAGATCCTTGTGGGATGCCGCATGTAATATTTTGGAAGGTTGATAGCGAGTTATTTACTTTGCAAATTTGTTTCCTGTTACTAAGATATGATTGAAACCATGACAGTGCTAATCCACGAATTCCATAAAATCCCAATTTGGATAATAGAATCTTATGGTTTACCGTGTCAAAGGCCTTTTTAAGGTCCAAAAATAGGACACCATTAATCAAACCAGCGTCCATGTTTGCTAACCAGCTATTAGTTACATGTAGTAATGATGTTTCAGTTGAATGATTTACACGAAATCCGGACTGAAATTTGGAAATTATTTGGTGGTGTTCCAAATATTTCATTAATTGTTCATGTACAACTTTCTCAAATACTTTGGGAACTATAGAAATGACAGAAATCGGCCTATAATTACCGCATAGGGTTTTTTCTTCTGATTTGTGGATAGGTGTTACTTTAGCAATTTTCCAGTCATCTGGAAAAATTCCAGTCTTAAGAGATTGGTTAAATATATACGTTAGTGGCACAACGATTGCACCCCCAGCGACCTGCAATAGTTTCACAGAAATTTTGTCATAGCCCGATGATTTAGCAGTTTTCATTTGCTTAATTTCCTCCCTAACTTTATCATGGGATATAGTTTGAAAATCGAAGTTGTGTGGTGTAGATGTTACGAAAGACAGTGGATCAACATCATTTGCGTCTATATTTTTAGCTAAACGTGTACCTATGCGCGAGAAGAAGCTGTTAAATTCTTCTGCAATATTCTCATCTCCTACTATTTTTCCTTCGTCAACAACCAATTCATTAATTATAGTAGTTTTTGATGCATTGTTTAGCAATTCATTTATCAATTTCCAATTCTCTTTGTGGTCCTTGCATGCATTTAGTTTACTTTTATAATAATTGCTTTTGGTTTCCTTGATTGTTTTATTCAAATTGTTCCTACATTGTTTATACTCATTAAAATAATAGATTGAGTTATGCGTGACCGCTTTCTTTTTTAGGAAATCTCTGCGGTGACCAAGGTACTTAATCTCCGTAGTTATCCAAGGGTTATAAGTGCTTCTAACTTTCCTTTGTCTTAGAGTTGCATGCTTATTAGCTAAAGATAGAAATATAGTTTTCCATACATTCCAAATAGTAGACTACAGTTTCAATATTAAGTTTTCAAAAGTATAAATAATCAGAAATTGCTCTAGCTATAATCAAAAATAGCTTTGAGATGCTTTTCCTAACTGCAATCGAAGCCCTTGAACCATTCTATTAATTTATCTATTATGAATTACATAGATTTCACACTATTACCTCATACACGCCCGCATTACCTACCTGTTGAGGATTGTATAGTACTTCATATGGATAATTGTTTTTGCTCTTTCTTCATTCATATCGACATTCTTGCGAAGAATTTATGCAAATCTTTTAAAGTAAGTTTATTATTTTGATAATTTTACACTTGTTACTGACGGTAGTTGAGCCCCCTGCATGTGTTTATACAAGAAGAAAAAGGTGATATAATTAAGTTCCGCAGGTTCCGCAAGTTCCGCATGTTCCGCAGTTCCGTAGTCTGCAGTTCGTTAATTAGTCATACCCCTACATTTGCAAAAACCTGTCAAGTGATTCACCGAAATTTCCATATATATCTCACGATTACCTTATACCAATATCTGATATTCACAGCTATAATACTAGACTGTCTGCCAGTGGTAATTTCTATTGGTCTAAAGTAAGAACTGATTATGGTCAATTCACCTTCAAATCTATTATCTCGAAGCTGGAGATTGACGTGTTGCACCTTATTTGAAAAATTAAATATTGAAGCCTTTAAAATACAATATAAACAGTTCTCCTATCCTGCCTGATATAGTCTTAATCTATTTGTCAAATTATGAATTAGAAGCTAAGTATTGATATGTTTACTTCGCCATAACGATCTACTACTTTTTATTATATTCCATATAAAGTTATTAACATGCAGTATAGCCAACTCGAAAGCTCATGCTACTTTGGCTGCTGCGCACATCCAATTTAATTAAATTTATAGTAACATCTTTATGTAATAATTCTTAAGTTCCAGTCTCAACCGATAAACTGTGAATATTAATATCAATGTGCATAAAAAAATCTTTCTTTCTTTCTATACATAAAATTCGAGAATATTGAAGCAGTGTAGACTAACAAGGCTAAAACTTTTTAGTCGATGTCAACTGAAAATAAAGAGCTTTCAAATAAAGTAAATGTTATGTCTTCTGATTTGGAAAAAATCAAGAGTAATTTTCTCAATATTAAATATCGAGCTAAATGAGAAACACAAAACTAACGATATTATAAATTTATGCCATCTTAAGGGAAACATATTTTAATACGATGAATATCGAACACACGAAACCTCAAAGTCTCATTACAATGAAAGCATTCAAAGGTCGCTCACATCAAACCAATGCGTCAATCTAAACAGCAAATTGAATCTAGTTATAATGAAAAGGCAAAGTCCATTAACTCTAAGAAGGAGTTAACTGCAACATCCCATTCCAAAAGACCACTTGGGGCAAATCAGCCCAGTCAATTGAAACAGCGAAGTAAATCTAGATCTACTGTAGACTATTTTTAATGTAGAGGCAAAGTCCATTAATGCCAACCTGCCACTTATTACTAAACTCCATCCTAATATATTCGGAACGAACATGAGTAGTAATAATACGAATGGAATTGTGGAAATGGTCTTCAACGTCTCAAATTTTGGTTCACAATATATCAGCAAATTGAGCAGTGGCCCGTGGTTGATGATCTACCTGAGGATGATATACCCATATCCATTTACGGCACTGTCCTCGGAGATCACTCCCTGGACGATCATAAGTCAGATACTTTGCCTGGAATATCCCCGTGATAATAACATCCATGCACAATACTAACAATCCTTCTGTAACCGCGCCATATTTTAAAGCCCGCAATTTAGACGATCTAATTCCAGTAAAATCAATAAGCTTGCCCAACCTAATTCTACTCAAACTAATGAAATTAAGAAAATTGCGCTCCCGAAAATATCTTTGATAAATGCACTTCTCTTTCACCAAAGTCGATAAACTAACTGTAACGCTGGCTGTGAACCCAGTTGATTTGGTAACGGAATCATGGTTCAGTGAGGATATACAGGACAACATTGTCTCAATTAGTGGGTATACATGTAATTGATTTTTCCGAAAGGACCTTCCTTACCGTCGTGGTGCTGGAATTTGTGTTTATCTGCCAGAGGATATCCCTGCTAAACATCGAATGGAATTTGAAAGTAACAATTGACCACTTGCATAATGGACTAAATTTTGATCTCAACAAAAATTTCATCACAGCTTGAAAGAGCATCACCAAATTAGTAATATTCCAAAGTTTCGTTGCGAAATGTTGTAAAATGCGGAAAATATAGCCTTGCGAAGTTTCCAATTTTCTGTCATTTTAGATTACAAACGCATTTTACAACATTTCGCAACGAAACTTTGGAATATTGGACTAATTTTGTGATGCTCTTTCAAGCTGTGATGAAATTTTTGTTGAGATCAAAATTTAGTCTATTATGCAAATGGTTAATTGTGAGTGTTTGTGGCATTGGCTACGCCCAACTAGCCTACCCAGACCTCTTCTATGTATTGCAGTTTGTGTTGTTTACCATCTACCTGCATAATATGAAAACCGTCTTATAAAATGAATATTTAACTACCACCGTTGACACCCTATGAAATCTATACTCCAATTGCAAACACGTTTTCCTTGGTGAGGAAAACACGTTTTCCTTTCCTTCCTCAATTACTTTGAAACATCAAACATATTATCGACACCCAACTTAAACCAAGTAGTCCGTGTCCCCACCAGAACTTCGGCAATTCTTGATCTCATAATTAGCAACCTATCAAACCTTTATGAAAGCTCTCAAGTCAGTGAGAGTCGTGATATATTGTAACATGGATTCCTCGTTTATGGATTGAGATCGAAAATTACAGTGAAAATACAAAAAGTGTTCCACTTCCGCTTCTGTAGTTTGTTGTGATTTACTGTAATTTGTTCTGTTTTTCTGTAGCGATTACCGATTTATCGGCAAATACTGCGATAAAACTTAGTTTTCTCTACTTTTTGAGTGTGATAATTTGTAGCAAAGGGAAATAATACATTTTTCGTTAGTTTCATTGCATAAAAGGTACGAAATTTAAATTTTATCGCAGTATTTGTCGATAAATCGGTAATCGCTACAGAAAAACAGAACAAATTACAGTAAATGACAACAAACTACAGAAGCGGAAGTGGGACACTTTTTGTATTTTCACTGTAAGTCTGTTTCACGCCTTAATTGTACGTCAGTAATCTCGATCTGTTATCGACGCTTTTTGGAGGTGGTCTACAACCTATGACTGGTTCAGCGAACTTGGTTTAATGCCACAGCAGACAATTTAGAAACCTCTTTTTCATCACATATTGTGCACGAAATCGATCGTATTTGATCTCCCCAAAATAGTGAAATTGCACCATTGGTTAACACCAGTCATTCAGGACCTTATACAAGATCGACAGAAAGCATTATTATTAGTTGTAATATCCCTCTTTGGCAAACGCTGAGACGCAAAGTCCAATATTAATTTGGTGGAAGGAAAAGGTCATTTTATAGGGATAAGGTTCAGCAGGGGAGTGTCGTAAATGGTGGAAAATAGGTAATGAATGCAGGGAAACCAGAGAAAACAAAATCCTTTTCCCCAGAACGTATAATGGTGAAATTCGGAATGATGAACAATTATCAAATGCAATTAATTAACGAATTATATGTTTCTGTCAACGCAGATATTCCAATTCTCGATGCGAACTCAGTGCCTACGTTGAATGGTGACGTTTTTACCGTCCAACCTTACGAGGCTGGTCGGTAGTAAACTATTGACAATCCAACCCCATACAGCACCAGGCCCTGACAATGTGCCAGGTCGAATTTTAAAGGAGTTCGCAATTACCACCATGTTTAACGCATTTCGCTCCTCCAGCGTCGTGCCAAGAATCTGGAAAGAATCCAATATCATCCCAATCCCTACGATACAACAATCCGAAATTGAAGGATATATCAGGCCACAGAGGCCAATATTCCTGATCCTTCTCGTTGTCGGATCGCTGATAGGCGATGTTAAGGGAAAGATCGACGCTTGACAATTTAATTGTTTGCCTTGGAGGAACATTTACTACGTATTGTGTCCTAGATATGCTCCATACTTGACTATCCCACTTGGATGCTCGCGGTAAGCACATTCGTATTTGCTTTTTAGACTTTGCAAAGGCACTCGACCGTATTGGTTATGATGTACTGATTGAAATCCTGATAGACCTGGGTGTTAGGCGGTCTCTAATTCCCTGGATCATCAGCTTCCATTCTGATCAAGGACAGTGTGTCAAGCTTTGTAAATCAACTTCGAGCTGGCTATCTGTGACAGCTGGTGTCTTTCGAGGGACTAAATTGGGATCAATGTTATTCTTAATTGGTTATGGTTAATGGCTTGACAGTAAATTCACCCGATAGTAGCATGTGGAAATTTGTTGAAGATATCTCGACTTCTAAACGTCTTTCATTAGAACACTGCTTCTATTGCTCAATCGACCCTTAATTCTATTCATTTATAGGCTTCCAACAACTGGATGAAGCTGAATGCTAAAAAGTGTTAAAAACTCCGAACCTGTTATCTCAAGGAAACGCCTCAGTTGCACTTGTACCTTTAAGAATCGATGGACATGTACTAGAAACTGTGCGATCCCATAAAGTGTTAGGATGAACTATTCAAAAAACGTATTTTGACGAACATATTTTTTCAATAGTCTGCAAAACATTTACATATTTTCCGGGTTCTACGCCGTGATGGAGTCTCCCCCGCTCACATTATCAATATTTATTATACTCTGTTACGCTCAATTTTAGAATACAGTTGCGAGGTGTGGAACAATGCAATACCTTGCTACTTGTCCGATGAACTGGAAAGAGTACAAAAGCGAGCTATGCGTATTATCCTTCCTGGTCATTCATGTCATAAAGCGTTTCAGTTAGTTGGCTGCCCAAAACTGAACGACGGACGAAATGAAATTTGCATGAAGACCTTAAGGCCCATATACACGGGTGCTTTTTGCTGCGATTTCAGTTGCGATTTTCTCCTTTTGGAGGATGTGAAGGAGTAGATCAGTTATAAATGTTTCAGGTTATGAAATCTCATAACAACATCATTAAGTATCTACTCCTTCACATCCTCCAAAAAAAGAAAATCGCAACTAAAATCGCAGCAAAAATCGCCCGTGTAGACTGGCCTTTATGAAAATCGTTAAAAATCCACTTGACATATGGCCCACTTACCGAAAAGGCCCACTTGCCGAAAGGGCCCACTTGCCGAAAGGGCCCACTTGCCGAAAGGGCCCACTTGCCGAAAGGGCCCACTTGCCGAAAGGGCCCACTTGCCGAACATATGACCCAGATCCGAGATTGCGCTCATCAACACTACAGGATGTATCAAGAAAAGGTAATCGAATTTCAGAAAGATTTTTGTTGGATGATATGTTCTTTTTGCGAAATGGATGAAAAATGAGCAAATACGAATCAGATAAAAAATGTTAGAATCGCATATTTTCACTCTCGAGAGTAGGGTCTAAGGCCATTGAAAATTAATCCCCGTTTAGGACTTAGTTGATGAATTTCACTTTATTAAACTACACACATATTCATAATTATTATCAAGTAGGAATAAATCTTAGCTAAAGCCCGCCGCACACGAGCGCACTTGTCGCGCGTACTTGTTAATCGTGACAAGTTGGATCGACAAAATTTCCTCATGTGCGGGCAACATTTACGGCATTTTCGTCATTCGTGACATGTAAACCAAATATCAAACATGTTTGATATTTTTCGTCATTCGTGACAAAAAAATTCTCGTGTGCGGCGAGCAAACGAAAAGTTCGCCTGAAAAGGAAAATTTGCGCATGCGTGCAACTTGCAGAATTAAAAACATGGCGGATCAAAATGTTGCACGCATGCGCAAATTTTCCTATTCAGGCGCACTTGTCGTTTGCTCGCCGCACACGAGAATTTTTTGTCACGAATGACGAAATATATAAAACATGTTTGATATTTGGTTTACATGTCACGAATGACGAAAATGCCGTAAATGTTGCCCGCACATGACGAAATTTTGTCGATCCAACTTGTCACGAATAACAAGTACGCGCGACAAGTGCGCTCGTGTGCGGCGGGCTTAAGCTGTGACAAGTTCGTCATCAATTTCTGAAAACATTTTTTTATCGGACTCGCACTTGCTTATTTTTTCTCCACATGGCGTGAAAAATATGTCATTCAACAGCTAAAAGCCTGATCTTTCCGACTATGAAAAACTTTTGCTTACACGCCCAGTAATTCACGTACAATAGCCTGCTGAAGTTCGATTACCTTTTTTTGATACACCCTGTATATTAGGAATTCTAATAATTTGTCATTGTACAAATGCAGAACAGAATTCGAACGTTTCAAGTATAGTTTCTCAATTGAATCATTTTATAATTATACCAATAGTTAGTTAGTCACAACTTCTTTTAGCTCAGCAGTTAATAATTTTGTAATTTTCACAATTTTATTTTAAAATTCTTAAATTTGTAAAGACATTGCAATTAATGTTATATGCGAAAATTAAATGTGTCACTAAACTAGAAATACATGCATGCAACAACCCGTCGCCTATATTTTCCAAACATTGTTTCAACATGAAGTATTCGTAATTACGCCAACACAGAACGCAGGCTCGCGTTGCTACGTCATGTTAGCAGCATGTTAGTCATGGCATACACGATAATTGTTTATTTGAAATACGAAACTGTCGCATACAATATATAGGAACGGACTTGAACATCAAGAACAAAGAATATATTAATACAAAGTCATGATAAACAATTGAAACAAACTTGCCTTCCCTATACTTTAGGATTTCTCATATAAATCAATTCTTATAAATGTTTACGTTTAAAAATTGAAAAAACTTCTACAATATGCTATGTGAAACGATTTTTCAAGCTTCCTTACATGTATTTTTTTTATATTTTTGCCTTCTTCACTCATGTCAAACAGCCATATTTTGAGATCAGTGAGATGACCACCAACCCAACACCGAACCACGCACGGTAACCCACGCCCGGGATCATTGAGGAACTTTAGACTTCGCTAATGCTTTCGTTTCCCCGGTTGTAAATAGCCTGGTGGAATTAGTACCCGCCACCCGGGCTAACGCCTGGAACGGCGCTCCGCGCCGTTGGCTTGGGGATTAAACATCAAATAATAATAACAACAAATAGGTTAATTAAATATGCTGTCTTTCTTTTCCAGGGTCAAGAAGATGAGAAGAAAGAAAGTCCAGAAATAGGAATTGGTGCAATGTTGTCAGGTAAATTGAAAGTGAATATAACAAATGAAGATGACGCACATTTAATGAACAGCAGCGATTCAACAACTTGAAAACTAAAGAACGGCGAACTTTTGAGCGACTATTTCTATCGCCCCTTCGTTCAGACAAAAATGGAAATCATCAACTTAATTCTGCAAGTTTTATCGTTTAATTTTATTTTTAGTCATCAGGCCGCGGAAAGAAATTTTGGACACATGCTCTGTTTTCTCTTTGATATTGTCAGGTTATTTATTGTGTATTTTTTGGTCTTGTTCACAGTTCCCTTCCTCCAGCTTTGGGCTTCTAATGAGCATAATAAACTTGGAAATTTCGTGAATCTTCCGGGCGGTAAGTTATTTTCTTAGTATGAACCATTGATTGCTAAAAATAGAATAATTAAAAACATAAGTTATGAAAGAACTAAAACGCTATAATTTTATATATTAGTTCAAAATTCAGCGTTTACCTTTGCCATGGGTTTATGTTTTTCACCATCGGTTTCAAAACAATCGCATTCGAAAACAATTAGAAATTCGTGATAATAATTAACAATTATTCGCCAAAGGCGAGGTGACTATCGTTAAATAAAATCCGAGACGAAGTCGAGGTTTTTATTAAACAACAACAACAACAACAACTATTTATTTGTACCCCAAAGAAAAAAACTATTACACTATTACAATTCACTTAGTATAATATGTCAAATATAGGTACTGGCTACCCGTAATAACCGTAAAGGGTTAGATGTCGGGCAGCCAGATCACTATAGTGAAAGATTCACAATAATATTATTTTTTGGATGATAAATTTGTATGATGGGTATAAACACTGTAGGTCGAAACAAGGAGTGAGAGAACACACAGACAAATAAATCAAAGAAAACAACCGCTGCACATTTAGGAGATTTTGTTAATCATTACATAGAAAATCAAAAAACTACGAAAATTAACCGAATTAGCCATAATTTATCAATAACCATTGATAAAATTAGCTTTGAAATTCGTAGAGATTTAGCGATTATTCTATCCGAGAGATAGAGCTTTTTTTGTTTAATTCATAAAGAGAGTTCCATACTTTCGCTCCTTGATATCTTAGATTGAAAATTCCACAATTTGTTCTTGTTTTGGGAATAGAGTAGGACGATTTGGATGCAAGTCTAGTATTGTAGTTATGTTTCTGGTTGACAGGAGTAAAGAGATTATTAAATGCAGTTGGGAAATTATCATTATGAAATTTATGCATGAAAATTGTAATATGTAAATTAACAAGGTATTTAAACAGGGGGCTTGAGTACTTACATACATACATACATAAAAATTTATTTAAACACGTTATCCCTAACATCTTTTGATGGTTTGAATAGGGGACATGCAAGAATAAGACTAATACATATACATAATACAAACTATTTACATGATTATTATTTTGACAATTAACAAACATAGATAAATAACAAACATACAAAACTATTTACATACTTATGGTTTTCGAAAATGTAGTTTCATTAGTCTTTTGAAACAACTCAAAGAATTGGATTGTTTAGCAGTAATTGATAAGTTATTCCAAAGAGTTGCTCCACTATAACTGAAGGTCTTTTTCTTAAATTGTGATTTTGGGAATGGAAGTACCAGATCTGTTTGAGAATTTCTTAATTGGTGTGTAATTGGACAATCACTTATTTTCAAAAAATTTTCTTTCAGGTTTGGAGCAGTTTCATTATTTAAGATTTTGTAAATAAAAATAGATTTCAAGTATTTTCGCCTATTGTCGAGAGTTTGCCACCCCAAAGTTGCAAGAACATCGGCCGACCTAATATCATAAGATGCTCCTGTTATTACTCTAGCAGCTCGGGATTGACATTTTTGTAGTTTTTCCTTTAGGACGATTCCACAGGTATCCCACAATTGACAGCAGTAGTCAAAATAGGGTTGTATTGGAGACATGGTGGTAGGTCATTGATGTAGAGCAAAAATAACAACGGCCCCCGGATCGACCCCTGGGGGACCCCACATTTTAATTTTCCAACGGAGGATAGTATCCCATTAGCTTCATTGTTGTTCCCTATTCGTTAGGTATGATTCAAACCAGAGTAATTCATTACCGCTAATGCCAAAGTTAGATCTCATTTTACTTAATAAAATATTGTGATTTATTGAATCAAAAGCTTTCCGTATGTCTAAAAATACTATACAGTTTATTTTCCCCTCGTCCATGTTATTTAAGATTTCGTCACATATTTTAATGAGGGCTGATAAGGTTGAGTGTTGTGGCCGAAAGCCAGATTGATACTTTGAGAGAAGATTACTTTCATTCACGTACGTATACACTTGCCTAAACACTTCTTTTTCAAAGACTTTACTTACAATTGACAAAATAGAAATGGGTCTATAATTTTCACATTTACTTTTATCTTCAGATTTGAAGATAGGAATTACTCGAGCTCGTTTCCAATCGTTAACATAAATACCGCTTTGAAGAGATAAATTAAAAATATACGTTAAGGAAGGGGCAATAATATGGGCAGCTAGTTTTAGTATTTTCGCTGGGATGGCATCTAGGCCAGTGGATTTATTTGCTTTAAGGTGTTTCAAATTACAGAGGACACTATCAACCTTAATGAGAGAAAAATTAAATTTATTATTAGTTTGGGAATGGATGTTTGTGTCAGAGAAATCAAGATTTTCTCCACATTCGTTTGGCGTATCATTTCCATCAGGGTACACTCCAATGTTGATGAAGTGTGTATTAAAATGCTCCGCAATGAGATTAGGGTCTGTGATGACATTTTCACCAACTTTGAGCTCACTAATATAATTGGATTTATTTTGTTTCCCTAGCAGGGAATTTATTGTAGACCAGCATTTTTTTAAATCCTTAGTTTCTGCACATTCAGATATTTTGTTGATATAGAAAGTAGATTTTGTCTCACGTATTAGTTTATTAACTTTATTACGCAAACTCTTATAATTATGCCAATGTGAATCAGATTTCAATTTTATGGCCTTTTTCTTATGGTAGTCTCTTCTTCTCATAGCTGACCTTATTTCCGCTGTCATCCACGGAGTGGTGTGTTTCCCTGATCTTATATGTCTAACAGGAGCATGTTTATCTAGTGTTCCGATAAATAGTTCCTTCCACTTATTCCAACTCAAGTTTGGATCACTTGTTCTGAACACAGTTTGCCAAGGAATATTGGTTAGGTCGGATATAAATTCTGTTTCAGAAAAGTGTTTAAAATTACGAACTTTTTTAATAGTCGGCCTTCGTTTAAGTGGTTTGAATTTGTGAACTGCATATATTAGGCTATGATCTGATATACCAACGTGAAAGACGCCAGCATGAGAAATTTTTTCAGGAACATTTGTCAGGATAAGGTCAATTATAGTAGCAGATATATATATGTATAATGAATTTAAAGATTGAAATCTAATTGTATGCGCTTCTGGTGGGGATTTAGCAACATCACAGTTTATATCTCCTAATAGGATTAGTTCTTTGTTTTCAGCATCGCAATTAAGAAGAAAAATGTCTTATGCATCAAATACATCCGTACTTGAATTAGGTGGTCTATACCATGTACTAACTAGAAATGACCTGTTGAAAGGTTGATTAATTTCGATACAGATCATTTCCAGATTATTTGTAACTAAGTCATTGCTAACCAAAATGGAGAGGTGTTCTTTAACATATATTGCAACACCACCTCCATTTCTATTTCTATCTCTTCTAACTAGTTTATAACCTGGTATACTTATTTCATAGTCATTTACTAATGAAACAATTTTTGTTTCGTTAATAGCAAAGATGTGAAAGGAATACTGTGATAAAATATAACAAATATGTTCAATATTTTTTAATAGACTATTGATATTTAGACTACCAAGTTTCAGACCTTTTAGTTTTCCCATCCGTTTGAATTGGCAGGTTACATCTTCATCATGCTGCGATTCGGGTGTTGGGTGGCTGATATGGCTAGAGATGTTAAAAAGTTCCCCAGCTGTAATAGTTGGCTTGTCTGAAAATTCTGACCAAACCTACTGTTTCCTTGCCTTGTTCTTGTTTGGGTGGTCGTTTTATTGCTTCTCGAATAAATTTAATGAAATTGACAGCTAAATAGGCAGACCCTTTAGCGTTTAGGTGGATCTTGCTACCGTTTAAGGTAGTCCTATCAATGTTCTCATTGTTTATAAAACCATAATCTTGATTTAAACACGTTTGGGCAATTAGTGAATTTGTTTTCCTTATTTTGTCTGTTAGGTCACAGTCTTCCCGGGTAACAATGCTTGATATTCCAATTCTTGATGTTGGAAATTTAGTTTTTAATTTAGAAGCTAATTGCCCAACTTTTTCAGCACAGGTTTCTGCTGTGTCAACAGGCAGATTATTTGTTCCAGCGTGAATTATAATGTGGGACGGTGTTGATTTTAACTTGATTTGGTCTAATTTGTTAGATATTTCATCAACTGTTTTGCCCGGAAAGGTTATTTTCGTAACATTCCTACTCGATATTTTTTTCGGTATTATATGTTTGATTATTGAGTCCCCAATAATAACAATTTGGCTTTCTCGATCTAAGTTCATGTTGTTTTGGGGATCATTATGGTTATTTTGTGGTAACTCTGGCTTACCTTCTATCATCTGTGTACCCGAGTCTTTCCGGTTAGGCTCTTATTCATTGATCACATTACATTCAACAGTGACATCCTCCTCAGCTACTTGAGTACCGGTACTCAAACCTTCCCCGACAGTTTCTTGTTTGTCATTATCAGTATGGTCACTATCATCCTCTACTGTAAGTATTTTAAACGCATTCTTGCATTCAAGTATGTTTCCAAACGCTCGTTTTGAACCTTTTGGTTTTGCCATTCCAGAGTTTTGTTTTAATTTATCATCAGCATTGATGAAGGCACCAATTTCATTGTTACGCCAGGCGTTCATCACAAGTGTGCATCAAATTTAGAGAAGGTCATTAAACGTATTGCCTTTTTTTTGCAATATTTGCAGTGGCTTAAGCGTAGTTGGATAAGTATTACCCCAAGCAAGTATACCATAAATTAGGAAGGGATGTACTAATGCATAATAGATATTGAGAAGAATACTTTTAATGACATAATATCGAAGTTTAGAGATAATCCCTATGGTTCGTTTAATCTTTTTGACAATATAGTCAACCTGGTTTTTTCAATTTAAAAGCGAATCATTAAGGACATGACCAAGATATTTAATACAAAAATGTCTTTTTAATTCTTTACCATTAATATTTAGTTTTATGTCAGAATTTATTTTCTCTTGAGGAGGATGAAATATCACAAAGTTTGATTTATCAACATTTAGAGACAGCTTATTAGCTATTTAGATTTGTTTGAAGCTCTATATACAAGATTCTTATGTTTGTAAAATATGTTAGAATCGTCTGCAATTAAAAAGATGGAAATCTAAGATTTCCGAGCACCTATTCAAATCATTTATATATACATCAGAAATAAAAGAGGACCGAGAACTGATCCCTGAGGAATACCACATGTGACTGTATTTTAATCATATAAAATATTATCTAAGGAAACGTACTGTTGCCTATTCGTAAGGTACGAAGCAAGCCATTCATTTGCAATTCCAGGAATTCCTAACTTATCCAATTTGTTAATTAAAATACTATGATCAACTGTATCAAAAACTTTACTAAAATCAAGGAATATTCCACAGGAGTAACTTCGCTCCTCTATCGATAACTGTATTTTATCAATGATACTTAAAATTGCATGATTAGTAGAATGATTGGCGCGAAAACCAAATTGTTTTTCATACAGCATATTTCTCTTATCGAAAACGTCAATTAACCTATTATATATATATATACATTAGTTTTTCCAGCAATTTATTAAATATAGAATGAAGTGAAATTGGTCCATAATTGTTTAGACAACTGTGATATCCACCCTTATGAACTGGAATTAATTTTGCTATCTTAAAACTAATTTGTACCTCACCCAAAGAGATAGAGATATTAAATAATATCTCAAGAGGTTTCGATATGACATATTTGATGATTTTCAAAATTTTAACTGGAATACTATTTAATACGGCCCAGTTGCTTTTCCGTGGTTTAATTTTGAAATTTCATCTTCGATTTCCTGCGATGTAGGTGGAAATACATAAAAACTCTCGGTAGGAGACGTGACCATGTAATCTAATGGTGATTTATTCACATTTGGTATAGCGCTCGCAAGCTGAGAAAATCCTCATAAAATATTAGCAATTTCATTTATGTCAGTTATATAATCAATTTAAGCAAAGCTATAAATTGCGGTTAACTAATGGAGTGATATGTTCTAGAAGACTCTATTAGCCCGAGGGTGTTTTCAGTCTGCCAACGCATCTGCGTCACAACAATTAATCCGTACAAGGTCCAAGAACCTCGGTAGAACCATAGACAATCCAGAAGACATGTCTTCTGGATTGTCTATGGTAGAACAAGCGAGCCGTTTTCTATTCCTGTTAATATTACAAAATATTAGATAAATATCGAACTTTGGCTACTAAGCATGTGAACAACTGATGCAAACTTGGGATTGACCAATCAGAAATTATTCTGAAGGTTTTTCCTTCGCATGCAAACGTACAATGGCCCCCTTTTTTGCGCAAAGACTTTTGATAGAAGTTTCGACGTGCACTGCTGATTCGCAAAACTTTAGCCAGTGCGTTAACATCTCTGGCAAAAGTTTTGGCTAATAATTTAAGGGACCAAACCTTGGCAAAGAAGTAGAAATTTTAAAAAATGTCAGTTATTTCACGATTATTATCCACAATCTTTACAGGTCTTTGATATGTTTTAGGATTAACCCGAAGAATTTGTTTTATACCTTTCCAAATTAACTTACCATTATTTGTATTTTTGTTAAAATAATCACTATAGCAAATTTATTATACTCATTCGCAGAAGATGATTTAATTTATTTCCATAGAACTTAAATTTAGAAAGATAATAAGGGGATTTAGTTTTAAGATATTTTTTATAAAATTCATTAAAATTTTGATCTGTATAGATTTTCTTATAGCAGTTGATATCCAAGGCTTTGACTGTATTTCAATTCTCTTTTGGAAAGTTGTTTAACTGGAATATGCTTCTCTATAATGTCTGAAAGTTTTGTATAAAATATATCAAACAATGTAGATGAACTGGGATTATTTGTGGAAAGGAAATCATGCTAATTAACTGATTGAATTTTAATAACTAAACATGACTCATTAAGTTTAGAATAATCTCTTCTAAAGATCTCAACATTGGTTGGTAGTAAAGAAAATTTATTAAGAATTAGGAAGTTTGGAAAACGGTCTGTGAAGTCGTATATTATATCTCCACTGATAGTAAAATGTTTTACGGAGTTGAAAAATATGTTATCAATGAGTGTAGCCGAAAAATCAGAAATTCGAGTTGGTTGAATTATATATGGTTGAAAAAAGGATGTGCCTAGGCTGGTCATAAAATCATCTGCATGTTGGAGAATGAGATTCAAATTTCAATAAATCTAAATTAAAATCACCCAAAATTATGCAGTACTTATTTTCCCTGTGAATTTTATCAATAATAGTACCAATATACTCCTGAAATATATCAACATTTCCACTTGGATGCCTATAAATAATTCCACACAACATATTGCACTGGTCGTAATTCTGCACCTCAATCCATAATCAAATCTGTACGCTATGTCAATATTATTTCATTTTTTTTATAAAAAAACCCTACCCCGCTTGCATTTAAATAACTGGGTTGAGATACAAAGCGATAACTAGGCAATTCACAATTTGTTATAGGATCTTGTCCAAATTTTATTTTAGTTTCAGTTAATCCAATTCGCGAAAATGGATAATATAGATCCGACAACATGTTTACAAAGTTATCAAAATTAGCAGAAAGGCTTCTATAATATTACAATTGAGTACTGAGAAGAATTTTTTTTGCATCATAGCACTCACTATATCTTGATTAGAGAGTGGTCATTATTTATGGGGAGGGGGGGGGGAATGGGGAAAATAAGGATTGAAAACTTTTTGACCCCCCTCCAGACTGAAGGCAAACTTTCTGTCCCTCCCCCCTCGTAAAAGTAGAAAATTTTCTAACCCCTTCCCCCCCCCCTCCAGTGTGGAATGAGTGTGGATTGAATAATTAACAGCAGTGAAACAGGTGTGCGTTGCAGGTAAAGTTAGATATTAGGACAATCTGTTTAATCTGGCTCATGATGTTTTACCCTGGTGAATATGATTCAACCATATAATATATATTTTTTAATCATATTATGATTAAAAAATATATATTATGTGTTACTACTTTGCAATGCAACATTTGTCCTACCATAACCCTAACCCATGACCCGTCTTCATACAGCGAAATGATTTGAACACAGGGTTATTTTAAGAACTTTTCTGGGGGGTGAGCATCTACAAAAAGGGACCATACTATATTGAGTGTGGAGAGATGACAGATGGTTGTTGGTGACAAAAAGTTTGGTGTGGTATCGTATGGACTAGTAGGAGGATCTGGGGGTGTTCTCCCCCAGAAAATGTTTTGTATTTTTCCACCCCTAGAACATATTTTTGGATATACAGCGTTACATTGCGCGTTGATAGACCAAATCTGATCAGTTAAGTGTACTTGCATGGCATGTTTATGTAAATACCACAACTGGGTCACTCAGGGGGCAGAAAGCTTGTTAAACTTAGTGGGCCCGACTCCCACGATGGCGAGGCGCTACCATGGTTGGCGCCGAGCAGGGAAATTTTGAATATTTTGAGTCTCTAGATCGTTGGAAATAGCATTTTCGGCCTCTTCTTTTTTGCCTATTTGTGATTATAGAAATCAGAACTCTAGACATGGTATTTAAGTTCAAAAACTTTTATGACCCCCCCTTTCTCTTTGTTAAAACTGTTTTGACCCCCCCCCCATTTATAAGGGTAAAACTTCGTTTCCCCCCTCCCATTTCCCAACCCACCCACCCTCCCCGTAAATAATGACCACTCCCTTAATGTGAAAATCATGTGCCATATAATAATTAAAATTCTTATCATAGGTCATATGCAAATCAATATCAGAGTTAGTTAAATGAGGTATATTAGTCATATTAGAGCCTATATCTAATAAGGGTAGGAGACTATAATCCTGAATATTGATATTAACGTTATCATTACTAACGTTTACAGTACATTTTGGGCAGGTCATTGATCATTATATTAAACTTTTGTTGTGGATATCTAATTATTTGTGATTTAAGGACAGAACAAAGCAAACTCATAACTTGGTGGCAAGCAAATGATAAATTAAATTTAAGTACTTACCTTCCAGATTGTTTAAATTTTTGAACATCGTTGATACTGTTGACTTTAAGGACTGGAGAGGTTTCACTTCGTCTCAGAAAGACAGACGTCCCTGAGGCAGTCCATATAAAGTTGAAATCTTTTTCTTTCTTTGCTTTGTACGCCTCCTTGAATAATCCGTTATTCTTTGATGCGAGGCTCTCTGTAATAAATATATTATCTTCTGTCACATACCCAAGCTCCTTGGTTAAGAATCTTTTTAAAAGTCTTCTTGCTTTATACAAACTTTCCTTAATATTTCGTCTCCAAAATTTTACGATAATTGGGGGCATCTCATTATTTAGTCCTTTATAACTTTTGCTGGTCTGAAGCCGATGAGATACAGAAATATCTTCATTCTTTATTTTAACACCAATTAGATTGGCAACCTTGATAACAATGTTATCAGTATTTTCTTTTATAGACTGGTTCGTACGAAGTGAATTGCCTCGAATTTCAATACACTCACGTCTTGAATATTGCCCAAGATTGTTTATTTCTTCTACCATGACATTTAATTTATTTGTTGCAGCAAGGAGCTGAGATTTAAGACATTTATTCTCGTTCATAAGTTCTTTTCTTTCCGA